TATATTTATTAGTCAATTATTGAAAAATGAAAAGGAAGAGATACACCAAATAAAAAAGAAAAAGAAATATATCAAATAGAAATTTAATACACAAAAAAATATTTAAGTAAAACTTTAGATATATTAAAATATAAGGCTAAAGTTGATTTGACGGGTTGTGGGCCCCATGCACTTCAGAGGCAGTTGACAGTAAACTAAAATTTGTCACGAAGCTGTTGAATTCGTGACAAAACACCTTTAGTTACGGCTTCACGAAGCAATTGGTAACTATTGCTGACTTTTTTTGTAGTGTATTGAAATTTAAACACTTTCTTGAAGCATCGTGTTCATTGATTTTGTTGGTCTCAATTAGATGCCTTAATGATTTTCAATTTGTCTGATTTTTTTGTAAGGATGATCTATGAATGAAGACTTGAAAAATAAATTATTTGGATCGTTGAAAAAAAAATTGTGGAGTACTCTGAAGGGTGTCCCTCAATGGAAGGGGACTATATATATATATAAACAAAAATAGTATTGCTGAGTTCTTGCAATTGTCACAATGTTTTGCTTTTTAGTTTATATACCTAACATTAAATGTGTTGAGGGACGGAAACAAATATTGGAACCTCTATCGACCTGCTGGCAAACTGATGGTGACTCCATTGTTGGAAAAAACGGCAGGTAATTGAGAAGAACCAACAACAGGTACGGAATTCCTGTTAGTTGAAAAGGCAGGTTCCTTGGAGGGTGGAAGTGATGTGGCTTCATTGCTCAACATACGAATTACAGAAGCCATTGTTGGTCGATCAGCTGGAGCTTCTTGAACACACAAAAACCCTACATGGATACACTTCAAAGCTTCATCAGGGGGGCACGTTTCCCTTACTGATGCATCAATCACCTCCATTCCTCTACCTTCTTTCCACAATTCCCATGCCTAATTAAGATTTAACATACTTAAACTTGTATTTTACAGTTAATCGCAAATTTACTGGGCATAAAAACAGAAAGGAGAGTATATAGTTCAGAATTATTAATACTTACCCATCCAGCAAGAGTTGGTGAATGTTCAAAGCGATAAAAAGCAGCATTCCTCTTTCCACTTACAATCTCCAACAACAACACTCCAAAACTAAACACATCTACTTTCTCAGAGAAATGGCCATATCTTGCATACTCTGGAGACATGTATCCGCTGCATGAATTGATGGTAAAGAAGTAAGCAATACCAGTGATTGCATAAGGTTTAGCAAAACTGAATGAAAAACATGCCCTATATATATATAAATACTTACTATGTGCCAACAACCCTGTTGGTATTTGCTTCAGTTTGATTTGTCTCAAAAATCTTAGCCATCCCAAAGTCTGATATTTTTGGGTGCATTGCTCCATCCAACAGAACATTACTTGCTTTCAGGTCCCTGTGTATGATTTTCAATCTAGAGTACTTGTGGATATAAAGTACTCCCTGAGCAATACCCTCTATAATTCGAAAGCGTTTTCCCCAATCTAATTCTGCATTTTCAGATGGATCTGATAGGATAAACCATGAAGAAAATTGAGCCAAGTGTTTTTATTTTTATTTTAGATGAAATGCTGGACAAATGGAAAAAGATCTTGCATTACACAACTTTTGCGCATTCAAAAGGATCTTGCTAAAAGGTAATCAAATTTGAGGTCCCAGAAATCAACAATATCAAAGAATCAATCTTAGGAGGAATGAGGATATACCAAACAAAAGTTTGTCCAAACTTCGATTGGGCATGAACTCATAGATCAAGATCAGTTCCTCCTCCTCAATACAGCAACCTAAGAGCCTAACAAGATTGGTATGCTGGAGCTTGGCTATAAGATTTAACTCATTCATGAACTCCTCATGTCCTTGCCCTGACATTTTTGACAGTCTTTTTATGGCTACTTCTTGATTTTCAGGCAAAATCCCCTGCAGTGGAAGGAAAATCAAACACAAAGTGAACCACAATTCCACCAACCAAACTTAATTAGGAAAAAGGTTATTCAGAGAACCAAAAAGTATAAATATTTATGTAAGAACAACTAATATACTTTAATTACCAATACAAAGTGGAAGAGTCACCTTATAAACAGGGCCAAATCCTCCCTCTCCCAGTTTATTAGCTTCAGAGAAGTTGTTTGTTGCATCTAATATACTCTTTAAACCGAAGAGTGGTAGTTCTGTATCATTCTTTCCACCTCCGGCACCATAATTTATTTTAGTCACACCATACTTCCTCCCCTGCTTCCTGTTTCAGTCTTTGTTAGAGCATGGATCATTTGTTTAGAGAATCCGTGTGAATGCACGAGTGCATGTGTGTGTGAGAGAGAAAGAGAGACAGAGTGGTTGCAACACCTTTGCTTCCCCAATCTTTTCTTCCATAGGAAGTAGCAAAAAATTATCGTAAGCAACTCTGCTGCTGCTGAGACCATTGCAATTTTAAGGGAGCGCTTATCCGCATCACCCTTGCCATCTGCAAAAAAAAAAAAAAAAAAAAAAAAAAAAATTAAATGTTCAGGTTGACCAATTAAAAGGATGGCTATGATCTTTCATAACAACACCAACAATCATTCCCTTATTACTTTTAAGATACATAAGCTCAGAAGCTGCAAGTCTGATGTATAAAGTTCTTCCACCAGCGTCATCTGCCGCAAGTTCTTGCACACCCAGGAGATCTCCAATCCAAATTGAACATGCGGTACTGCTTTCATAAGCATAAGCAGTGCAAGCGCAGTTATTTAAGCAGATTGATTCACATTTCTTAGCACTCCCAACCTTAACATGCAGTTCATTTTCAGGCATTGACATGCTATGCATTTCTAGAAACTGGTCTTTCGTCCCAATAACACTAGTTGAATTCCCACACTGCAAATTGGTTTTTCTTTGACACCCACCAGAGTAATCCTGCAAAACCCAATCCCGTGGCGACTTCTGCTCAAAACCCATCAAACAATTACACAAGACCCCGGATTTTTCATTGCAGCTCCCGAATGCCCCGCAAATCGCATGAACAGCACATTGCTGTCTTGGTCGAGACGTTAACAATTTCGGTGGCAGGGAAGGCGTAAACCAAATTAGTTGCTGAATCTGCCCCGATGCTGACATCATGAATGGAGATACTTTCTTTGGATCATAAAGCGAATAGGTGAAATAACTTCCGTTTTCATTTGAAACAAAGCTGTAGTTGTAGACGTAATTAAGCCTCATCTCAGGAAACAAGCTGAAAATATTTGAACTTGCATTCCATGATCCACTGGTCCAATACTGTTTAGACCTATTCCACTGTAAGATATATGAATTGCTTCCATTCGGGTCTAGCTTACAAGAGTAAAGACCTGGTGCAGGATCCCGTGAGTTCTTCCATGAAGTGAGAATTTGGGTTTGTTTGGTAATATTGTTGAATCCAATCTTGGCTCCTGGTAGCCATGCATGGGTTGGATGATCAAAGCTTTGCCATAAAAACTCAGATGAACTAGAATGAGCTCTTAAGACAAGATTTCCACTATCTAAAAGAACTGCTTGCACAGAAGCAGAGGTGGTGGTGGAGGTCAACTGTGTGGACCAAACTGGAGTTTTGGCCTCATTAAAGAGAACTAAATTGCCATCTGAGATATTCAACACTGATGAAAATCTATCAGAGATTGGTTTTTCCCTATTTGCCACCCAAACTATGGTACTCGCAGATACCACTCGGTAGGAACACCAGGTACCTATGTAGTGGCGGCCATCTAATTCGAAGAACCCCAGTTCAAAATCCCCGGAGACGATTGTCTGGTCACCGGAGAGAGATTGGTTTGCAGTGATGGTGTCAGCTGCAAAGGAGATACGGGACTCGCGAAATAGGCACAATAAAACAACTATAAACACCAACATTGGGTTGGTTTTGGTATCCATGGCTCCACTAAGAATTTGCACACAAGAAAGATAATGTCTTGCTACTTAATCCAAATCAACCATTGAAGGGTCAAGTCATGCGTGCTGCATATTTTATCCATAGCATTACTTTCAAACTTGTTATAAATTTGTCACTATACTTTCGTGAATGCCAATTACTTTGAATTTCTTATCATTTATGTTTTTTGTGAATTTGTGGTGGGTGTCTCTGGAAGTAAAATAATTTATTTTTTTGTCATACATGTATCTAGGGGATACTCAATTCAAAATACTTCACGTATTAGCTCTACTTGGAGGACGGTCTCAAAAACTCTACTTGAGGGGGTGGAAAGGTAAATCCAATTTACGAATATTCAACCATTTGGTTCTATTTCAATGGGTCCATCAATAAAATGAAAGGGAAACATGGGTTTTGACCAAGGAATTAAATGTCGATATTATCCTGATAATATCGGATTTTTGGGTGGCCGATATTTTCGCAACAAACCATGGTGTTATCGTCAATATATCGATATTTTTATCGATATTATCCCGATAATATCGGGGACGATAATATCAACATTTTTATGAATGATTTGGGCAATATATCGCGATATTATCTATAATATCCCGATACGAAACCCAAAAATATTTATATACATGGTTTTTGTGAAAACCAACTCCTTCAACACCTTAACCACCATATCACTTATGTTTTTGTGAAAATATGCTAAAATATTTATATATATACATGGTTTTGTTTTGAATTCTTTTTGCAAGAAACAAATTTTCACATGAGATGAGTAGTAACTATGGTATTTCCTTCCCTTCTCTCTTTCTTTTCTTCTTCTTCTTCTTTCTCTCCGCCAGATTCCTTATAGCAAACACAGCCAAATTTCTCTCTGCTCCATAAACCACAAAGGTTACGAACTTTACCTTCTCTAGTTGAGTTTTTGAATTGGGTGATTTTTTTTTCTGCGTAGGGTGGGAATGTGCCTTTGTCTGAAATGTTGGGTACATTTGCTCTATCTGTTGGTGCTGCTGTAAGTTCACTGACTGCTTCTCAATTGGGGAAACTTAATTAAATTGAATTGATTTTGAAGTTTTTTCTTTCTTTACACTAAAAACTGCTGGGGTGGGAATGTGCCTTTGTCTGAAATGTTGGGTACATTTGCTCTATCTGTTGGTGCTGCTGTAAGTTCACTGACTGCTTCTCAATTGGGGAAACTTAATTAAATTGAATTGATTTTGAAGTTTTTTTTTTCTTTACACTAAAAACTGCTGAATTGATTTAGATTTTATATATGTAAATTTTAGGTGGGAATGGAGTTTTGGGCAAGATGGGCTCATAAAGCTCTCTGGCACGCTTCTTTATGGCATATGCACGAGGTTTGCTTCGAATTTTGCTACTTTTTGTTACCTCTTTGATGCCAACAAAATTTTGAGTTTGGAATTTTGTTTCTTTTCGTTCACTGGGAAACCAGCAATGAAAGAAACATGACAAGCTTGAGTTTTTATATTGTTTTTCCATTCAGTTTCTTAGCAACCAATCAGTGTTTGATATTTGATATGAACTTTAATTGCAGTCTCACCACCGACCCAGAAAAGGTCCATTCGAGCTTAACGATGAACTGAAACAGAGAGAGAAGAGATAATGAATCTGGAGGAGAGAAAGAAGAAGAAGAAAAGAAAGAGAGAAAGAA